CACACTTAACTGTTTTTCTTCACGTTCGACAACTCACAGTTTCAGCCGCTCTTTTTCTTTTTCATCGTTTGGGCGCTTCATCACTCGGGTGACATCAGGTGGCTCCGCTAAACCCCGTACGGGGTCGCTCACGCAGCAAGGTCCATTGGGGCAGGGCATGGCGAGAGCCTCGACTTCCGACCGCTTGGCCGAGAAAGAGGCTCCCCCCTAGTGCGCCCTAACGCGTCCCGGATCCAAGTCCCTCTCATCCTGAGGGCCTCGTTCGGGTCTCCGCTCGCGCGGATTCCCTCCTCCACCGCGGGCGGGCGAGACGACCTCGGGAGCGACCCGAGGATGCGTCCGCCATTCGCGGGAGCCAAACCGGAAGCCCGGCTTCTCTTATGTTCTTATGTCTCAGTAACAAAGGTCAGGATTACCCCCTACTGGTGGTGAAGGTTTTTATTTTATTTAGATGTTTATACCCCACTTTCTTCCCAAAGCAGCTTATAACCTGGTTCTCCCCTCCTCCATTTTATCCTCACAACAACCCTTGTGAGGCAGGTTAGACTGAGAACGAATGACTGGCCTGAGATCACCCACAAGCTTCTGTGACAGAACGGGGATTCGAACTTGGGTCTCTCCCAAAGCATAATGGTACTGCTGTGCCCCACCTAGGTTTTCCCTGTCTTTCCTGCCTTCTTCCCCAAATCTGCTTTGATGCAATACTTTGAGAAAGACCATCCAGCAAAGTCACGGTGCTACCCATGTGGCTGGGGAAATCCTGGTCTTCCCATGGGTGCTGTTTCCCCTGCCCCAGTCTCCCACGGCAGCCGTTTACCCACTGCAACCAGGAGGCTTTTTCAGAAAATCAGCTCCTGAAAAACCATTTATCTGTTAGGTCCTCTGAACTCCCAGCTTTCATTTTCTTTTTAAAAAATGTCTAATCCCTTTTGCTGGGATTTGATGCCATTCCGTTTGAAGATATCTGCAATGAAAAGGGCAAGAGATTTCCTTTTTCATTCAAATAGAAGCTTGGGATTCAGGGAAACTAATAGACAAGACTGTTATAATGCTATAAGAATGCCAATTAGAAAAGCTGGAAAAGCCCATTTGGGGGAATGGTTGCCACAAGGGACTGGGGGGAGGAAAATGGAGCGGGAAACACCATGCAGACGTTCCGTTGCCACTGCACTGTACCAGCAGCCACAGCGGCAGTGGGAAAGCTACAGTGTCAGAACCCACAGCTCACAACAAAGTACCTGCATTCAGGAATGGTTATACGTTTATTGCAAAGCTATAGATGCAGTAACACAGGCACTGTTGAGAATGGCGGCAACCAGGGGTCATTTCGTAGAAAAAGAGGCGCAGGAGCTCATTAGCATAATTCATTAGCATACCTTATTTGCATATGCCACTCCCCCTGACATCATCAGAAGTGTATCAAAAAGCAACGCCCACTGCTCAGGCGCCACTGGACTGTTTTGGATTGCTAGCTATTGGGGGGGGGGCGTGCAGATCTTACCTCACAGAGGAGGGAGAGCCTGTACCTGAATAAAACTTGGTCTTAAAGGTGCCACTGGACTGTTTTGTCCTGGGGGGCCGGGGGGGGCTGCAGCTTACCTAACTGCTTCTTGCTCCTTGTGGCCTGGGGCTGCTGGGAGCAGGGGGTGGGCTTATTGCATGTGCCCGCCCCCTGGGCTCTTTACTGCCGGAGCTCCGCTCCTGTGCGCTCCTGCAGGAAATGACCCCTGGCGGCAACCCATTGAGCATAATAGGATATAGGGTATTTGTATGCCCCCCCCCCCCATGGCATGGGCCAATTAGGAACCCTCCCGCGTGCGGGACCAGCCAGAAAACCGTTAGGTGGCGAAAGCTGGGAAGCAATAGTCTCTCACGGTGAATAGGAGACTTCCAGACAATACAACTTCCAACATAACAACCTCCTGCACATCTGTAGAGATAAGCATTGCGGCACAGGCAAACAGCAGAGACAGGAATGTGATAGCAATTTGCAAGACACAGAATGAACTCCCCAACCCTCATGGCAGCATAGCTGACATACAGAAAATGGAGTGGAGATAACCTCAGTGTGTGCATTTCTCAGTAAGCCGATACCATAAAAATGCCACGGATCCCCACTATTCTCTTCTTAAAAGAAAACTGATCTGACAGGTAGGAAGCCAGACCGTCAGTCATTACTGATTATTCCGAGTGGCAGGTAGACCAGTCTTCATCTGCTGCCGAGGGTCGCACCTGGGACAGCATCCTCTGTCAGCAAGTTGTGTAAAAGTTAAAGACTCAGGTTCAAATCTCCACTCGGCCACAGAAGCTCCCTGGGTGACCTTGCTGTCAGTCACACGCTCTCAGCCTGACCTACCCTCGAAGGGAGGGTTGTTGTCAGAATAAAACGGAGGATAGGAAAATGCCGTAAGCTACTTTTGGGTCCCCATGGAGAAGGAAGAAAATGGCGTATAAATTAAGAAAAGAAGCAACGAACAACAGATGGTTCCACGACATGGCATGCCTAGAAACGATATTTTGATGAAATCCTACGGTCGGAGCTTGTGGTCTACCTAATAAAGAGTCCTTCTGATCGTTGGCAAGCCCTTTAAAAAGACTGCTGTCTTACCAATAGCCGGTGCTTTTCCAAAAGTGCTTCAGTTCCCTTTGGGGCTGTGCGACGTCCACCTTTAGCACTAAAGCCCCCAGAACCACTTCCGTGATTACTCCCAGCAACAGCACCACGCTCCATGCCACATGGGACTGCATAAACTTCACATAAATATTGAAAACACCCGCACCGGTCTGAGATGCTTCCGCCATTCCATCATGTGCTTTCAAAAACTACTCCATGCCTCCACGCAGGGGCGGGGGTGCTTGATCCATTGATTATATAGTTTATCTGTATCACGCTATTTTTCTGGTTTCGGTACATAAATTCTCCCCTTCGTTATGTGCTACAGAATTGCACTGAAGGGTAGAGACCCCAAATCTGTGATTTTGTCCCAAATCAGCCCTAACGATAATTACTGCACCCCTCTTCGTACAGAACATGGTCGTTACTTCCTCAGTTCCTACTTTCCTTTTTCTGCAGATACGGGAAGGCGAGTCTCCCCGGTGGAAAACCCAGTCCCAGCTACCATGCAATGTCAGGAGGGTTTATTGGGACACGAACGCACTTGCTCCCAGCGAGATATGCATGCAGTCCCCTTGTGTTCATGTTTACTTGGAAGTCAGTCTGTGAGGCTTACTCCGGAGTAAACCTTCTCGATCAGCGTGATAAACGCAAAGACTTATTGCATTTTGACTATGGTAAGGGCTTTATCAGCGTTCCGTGCGCCTTGGTGTTTAGTCATGCCGGCCACATGACCACGGAAACGTCTTCAGACAGCGCTGGCTCTTCGGCTTTGAAACGGAGATGAGCACCGCAACCCTAGAGTCGGATTCGACTGGCTTTCGAGCAAGGAAACCTTTACCTTTAAGGGCTTTACACGTAGGCTTGAGACGTGTCATCCTAAAGACATGTCTTCAGAAAATAGATTTTTTAAAAAATTAACTATAAGCCATCCTACATGTACTTCCTAAGGGAAGTGAGCCCCGTTCAACTCAATATTCGGTAAGAAATCATATTTCTTTTCACCAGTAACAAAATTCCAGTATTGTGCCCTCCCGTCCTTAAAACTCCAGTCCGTTTGGATTGGCTGATTGCACCCCAGAACAAAACGTTAATGTTGTTTAAAACTGGTAGATTTTTAATTTTAGTATAGGTTATGTTGTTAGAGGGTTAAATTACTAGAATGTGTATTTGTAATTTGGAAGATGCATGTAATTTGTAACAAATTGTATGTTGAAAGGTTTTTAAAAATAAAATAAATGATAAATGATAGGATAACCATCTTCAAGTACTTGAAGGGCTGTCTTATAGAGGATTTGTGAATTTCCAGCAGGGGGTTGGACTAGATGACCCTGGAGATCCCTTCCAATTGTGTGCTTCTATGATTGTTTCCCTAATTCCCTTCCAAAAAAATCTATTTTCCCAAATCGAAAGTCCAGAGGCATTTTAAAGAGGTAACATTTATTCCAGCATGAGCCTTAGTAGTGAGTTAGATGTCACTTCCTCCAATGCCCATTAGAGGGGAATCCTTTTGCGCAACTTTAATAAGCTGTCCCTCCAGATCATCTTGTTTTCAAACTGACAAAAAGCCTACTGCCCGTTGGTTAACCAATCAGTTCCCTCCTCTTCGCACGCGCCCTGGCATTTATCCAATGGGAGCACACAAGGGCGCTCTCTCCTAAGTACAGAAGAGCCACTCAGGTTCTTTTCCCCTCAGTTCGTTGCTTGACGTGATGCTTAAGAAGGAGGCGACCTCGAAAAGGCAGTTCGAAGCGGTGGGAAGCTCTAGTACGGCAGCGCGAAGCGCCGATTGGTTGGCTTATCGTTCAGTTAGGATATCATCACTGTGACGTGTCGGGGAGGGCATTGTTTTGGTTGCCGTTAAGGATTTGAATTTCAGGCGGTCGCCGAGTTCGGTTGGGACTCTTAAGAGGTTTTTTTTTCTTCTATTGCGAGACGACGGCGTCTCCCGTTTTGCCTTCGAGGATGCCGAAGTCGCCCAGAGAAAGGTGAGGAGGGAACTTCCCTCGGAAGCAAGACCCCTGAATTCGTTGGGGCTTACTCCAAGTTAAAAGAGGCAGAGAGGGTTCAAGCCTGAGGAAATGTTAAGGTGCTGGAGTCGGGGGCAAAGCCGTTAAATGGGTGGGAATCAGCACCGAGCCTGACACCTTGTGGCGGAGCGTTGAGGAGGAGAAACGGCTTCGGTTTTCTGTAACCCAAAGTTCTCAAGGGGGGTGGGGGGAGAGAAGCAGGTTGTTTTCCCACTCTTGCTGAAGCTGTCAGCTTGGGCTGCAGAGGATAGATACCGATAACTTCTTTTATTTATTTATTTTTGGCATTTTTGTGGGTGTGTGCACCTGAAAGTCATGGCGACCTCTGGGGACTGACCCCTACTGGGGGCCTGGAGGATGTTCAGAGAGCCGGCTGAATAAAGCCTGCCCCCGCCTCTGGTATTGCAAGGAGGTCTCCCATCCAAGGACTTGCCGGAGTCGACCCTGCTTAGGCTTTCGAGGTCAGGCTTGCCTGGGCTATCCAGGTCAGGGCAATACAGGTCACTCTTGTTCCCTTGCAGCCCAAGCTGTTGGCCACTTCTGTCAGTTTTTGGTGTAGAGTAAAGGAGCCATTTGTTCCTTTCTCTCCACCCAAAATGGCCTGTGGGGAAGAATGAGAGCAATCTGATTTTTCTTCCCGTACATCTGAAATTGCATGGGCTGCAGAGAATCAAGAGCGACCTGTTACTTTTCTTTACAACAGAAGCTGGTAGGCTTGGGTGGGAAGGTAAAAGAATCCAATCACTACTGTTCTTCCCCTGCCAAGATTCTCCCTGTGTGCCATTGTTGCTGGGCTAGAGAGCAGTGGTGGGGTGGAAAACAAATAAGCTCAGCTGATAGTAGCTTTTGATCTCCTTCTTCTTCTTGCTTCTTCTTGCTTGGGTCCCTGCAAAGTTGGGATACAGCAAGAAATCTGGAAGGCAGTTCCTGTTCAGCTGCCATTTGCCTTGTTTGTTGGGAGCTGCTGAACAGATTGGATAGTCACCTGTCTTCAAGCCAGCTGAACAGATCCACCATGAAATTCGCTGCATCATTACTCTCATATGAACTGTCCTGTCCTGGAGACAACCAACTGTTACCTTTTGAAGTGAGAGATGGGTGGTGATGGGTGTTAAAACTAGAAATGGGAAGGCTTGTGGAAAAGTGGCAGGAAGTGTTGCTTTCAAGGACATCTTAATTTTTTGTCCAATAACAAACTGGATTTTTTGGAGTGCTCTAGGGAAAAGTTTCTGAAATATTTTCTGCTTTGAAATGAGTGAAACCCTAAATTGTTTTAAGATAAGATGCTATTCTGTCAAAATAGGTAGTATGAAGATTTTTTTTGTAAGACAGTTGATAACAGTAGTGGATAATTCCTGTGTGGATACAACCTATTTTCAAGAATGTTGATTGCTTTAACTAACTGTTCCTAGACAGTTAAATTTAAGCTTTAAAGGAAAAGTGTTATAAATGCTTGACTCAGTTTATAAAGGGATCAATGATGGGAAGACTTGATGTAACTAAGCTAGTTGGAGGATCTCCTCTCTTGGGCTTTTAGTTAGTAGTGGGTTCTTTACTTTATCTCGTATATGTAGTTTCCCCTCCCTTTTCTTCTGTTGTAGTTTGTGTAGTGTTAAAAAAATAAATAAAAAATCCCCTCTGTGTGATCAAGCCAGTTTTTGTCCCAAAACCAGAGTTGAAGTTGAACTGAAAATAATATAGTCAGCAATGATGTGGGTTTTCCAGAAGAACTTGAATTGGTATGTGTCAGTTCCAGATAAGAACAGGGCTTCCAATAACAGAGCAGAAATCATGTGTTGGCCCCTGAAGCATATAGGAAGCAGATACAATTGTTATAATAGAAGCAAGATACAGTCGACCACTGGAACAAGACAGCAATCTTAGCCCAGCTGAAGGTTCTGGTCTTCTAAGGTAGCCCCACATATAGCATATTATAATAATGTAATTTGGATGTGATCAGTAGCCACAGCCAAATCTTGCCTTTCGAAGAAAATCAATACAAGTGCACCCCTACCCATGCACCCTAGTACACTGTTTCCTTTGAGGTACTATGGTAAGAAATAAATCACTGGGAAAGTGAAGGCAAGACCTTGGATTATTTACCACTAATTTATCTCTTTTGTTCTGTTCTAGTGAGGTCATGGCTGCTTCGTTAGTAAATAGTGTCACCCAGGCTCTAGCTAACTTGCTAGACTTATGGAATGAAATGGGCATGAAGAAAGAACTGCAGCTGGAGCGTATGCAGGCTGTGAAGGTCCACATTGAGGTATGGACCCGTTTGGCCTTGTGTGCAGATCGGATAAACCATCCCCCTGCCCCCCAATTCTCATATTTGCATATTGTGGCCTGGTGTTCCTCCTGTTAGACACCATCAGGTTTCTCATCCTCTTGGAACTGAAAGAAGTCTTGGAAGGTGGGGGAATGGCTTCGTAAAAGTCCGAGCAATCACGGGATAGAAGTTAAGTGCTTTATTTAGTTCCTTGTTTCCCTCATGACTGGGTGACAAACCTGAACTTGCACGAATTTTGAAGCCATGAGAGAAATGTACTTTGTGTGTTTTGGGAAAAGTGGAAACTTCTAGAAAAGTGTTTAAGTATATGAAGTCTTGATTTTTTTTTAGGCCTGAGTTTCATTTCTCGCTCTAATACAAACTGTGCTATTTCAACATCAATGAGCGGCACCTAAAATGATGCTTGGATTTCTGGAATGAACAGAAAAGTCCATTGTCATTGGTTTTTACCAGAAAGCAGCAGTAGTGTTTGGAGCTCAATCATATCTTTTTGGCATCTTGGAAACAGGAAAAAATAGCTGTAAAATTAAAATCTAAGAGTCCATACAAATTTAGTACAATCAAAATAGTACTATCTAAAATTTTGTACCTTAAGAACTTCTGTAAGAAACTTGGCAACATCATTAGTGATCTTAGGGATTGAATCATTCAAGAGAAGTTGACATTTTGACTTGTTACTCAAATAACTTTTAGGATGAAGCCAAGTTAGAAGGAATTTTCCGCGAGGTAGCTCATACAGGGGGCATTTGACAATTATGTGCTCAATCGTGTACAGGGTGTTAAGACCACAGGGGCACAGCCGTTCTTGTCTTGGGATTTGATGATATCTGCCATAGAGTATTCTAGAGGAAAATGCATTAACCCTGACGATCTCCGTAGGCATCTGGATCGAGGTGGTGTGGCGACACTGGTGTTGTTAGATCTGTCGGCTGCGTTTGATACGGTAGACCACCAGTTGCTGGCCCGCCGCCTCGCCAACGTGGGGATTCAGGGGCTTGCTCTTCAATGGTTCGCCTCTTTCTCCAAGGTTGGGGACAGAGGGTGGCGAGTGGGGACCAGCGGTCCCGAAGGCACCCCCTTGAGTGCAGGGTGCCCCAGGGAGCTATGTTGTTCAACATCTACCGTGTTTCCCCAAAAATAAGACACTGTCTTATATTTATTTTTTCTCAAGAAGACACACTAGAGCTTATACCACAAATGCATAGAAATCCTGCTAGGGCTTATTTTGGGGGTAGGTCTTATTTTAGTGGAAACAGGGTATATTCGCCCCCTCACCCAGATTGCCCAGAGGTGTGGCCTTGGGTGTCATCAATATGCTGGTGATACCCAGCTCTATCTGATGTTGGACGGCCAGTCGGACTCCGGTCCTGATGACCTTTATCGGGTGTTACAAGCTGTGGCTGGTTGGCTCAGACTGAATTGGTTGAAATTAAACCCGGCAAAGACGGACGTGCTGGGCCTGAGTCGGACCGATCCGGGGCTGGTCTCCCTCTCCCGGCCTTCGACGGGGTGCCTTTGGTGCCTGCGCAGGAGGTTAGGAGTTTGGGTGTGCTCCTGGACTCCTCGTTAACAATGGAGGCCCAGGTGGCAGCCACTGCCAAGTCGGCCTTTTACCACCTGCGGCTGGCTCGGCAGTTGGTCCCCTATCTTGACCGTGAGGACCTGGCCACTGTGATCCATGCGACGGTCACCTCGAGGTTAGACTATTGTAACGCTCTCTACTTGGGGCTGCCTTTGTCGCAATTCCGGAAGCTGCAGCTAGTGCAGAATGCTGCAGCCAGGCTGTTGATGGGCCTCTCTAGGCGAGACCACATCCGGCCTGTGCTGCAAGCACTGCACTGGCTGCCGATAGCATACCGGATTCACTTCAGAGTGCTGGTTCTTACCTTTAAAGCCCTGAATAGCCGGGGTCTGGCTTACCTGAGGGACCGCCTCTCCCTGTATGTTCCCTCAAGAACACTACGATCGGGGAGTCTCCACCTCCTGGAAGTTCCAGGCCCCCGAGACGTTAAGTTTGCCCCTACTAGGGCCAGGGCGTTTTTGGTGGTGGCTCCTACCGGGTGGAACGAGCTCCCGGAGGAGATCTGGGCCCTGCGGGACCTTGTACAGTTCCGCAGGGCCTGCAAGCAGTGTTCCCTCTAAGCTGAGTTAGTGTGAGCTAGCTCACAGTTTCTTAGCCTCTGGCTCACACATTTTTGTCTCCGCTCAGAATGGAGGGCTCCAGAGCAAATTAATGTATGCAGTAGCCAAACCGCTCGCTCACAACTTTAATGCCAGTAACTCACAAAGTAGAATTTTTGCTCACAAGGCTCCACAGCTTAGAGGGAACATTGCCTGCAAGACGGAGCTCTTCTGCCAGGCTTTTGAGTAGGAGCCGCCGCTGCCACTATTCTACCACCGTGGTACTGTTCCATCATTTACCCCTATTATGGGGGGTATGCATCACCTGACGGAAGTGGGTAGAACATCATCATTGGAGTCCTTGCTACTTAATACAGCTGGCCATCGAATTGGGATTACTGTTCCCATCTTGGGGATCTATATATAGGATAACATCAGAGCACCTGAAATATTATTTATGGGATTTTATTGTGGTTGTTCAATGCTGTTTTATTGTATTTTATCTATTTAACCTGGCACTAGCCATATGTTAGCTGCCCTGAGCCATTTGGAAGGGCGGGGTATAAATCCTAAATAAATAAATAATGTAATTTGTAGAATTTAAGCAGGCTGCATCATTTAGTTTTTCTTTTTCTTTGTTCACAAATTATTTTTTCAAAGTACAGATGATGCATGAATACTCCCTCTAAGCTGTAGAGTCTTGTGAGCAAAAAGTCTACTTTGTGAGCTACTGGCATTAAAGTTCTTAGCAAGTGATTTGGCTGCTGCATAAATTAGTTTGCTCTGGAGCCCTCCTTCCTGAGCTAAGACAAAAATGTGTGAGCCAGAGGCTAAAAAACTTTGAGCTAGCTCACACTAACTCAGCTTAGAGGAAACACTTTCGACCATCAATATAAGCAATTTGTGGAGCACACTGTGCCCATTTCACCTTCTTTTTGGCTGGAACACAAGGGCTGTGTTTGTCAAAAGGCCCAAATGGGTAGGGATGAGTGCAAAGATGATGAACACCATAGTCAGGCTTAAAGCAGCAGATGGGAGATGGGACCGACTTCTGTCTCCATGTTGGCTTCCTTTGGAACAGGAATTTCTGACAGACTTGTGATGAGCTCTATAGAGAAGTGATGAGAGCAAAGAAAATGAAGGTTGCTTCCAATGAACAGAGCAAAAACAGGACACCCAATCACCTTCTCTCTTCTTTTCTTTACTCTCCAGTAGGGGCAGGGTTTTCAGGGAATTGCTGCTGTTACAAGTGGAGAATTCCCTTGAAGTGCATTGGTCCTGCTTTTCACCCTGGAGATGCAAGGTGCCATGTACAGTCTGCTTCTTATTCAGTGAGGCAGACTCCTTGTTTTGGTTCATTTGGTAAGGCTACTTTGCTGCCATCTTGAACTATGTCTCTGAGGGGGGGGAAATGTGGGCCTGCTATCTAGGCCCAGAACCACTCCCCAGATAACTTTGAAAACAGTATAACTTCTAGTCCCAACCCCATGGACCTAGAAAGAAGATATGCCTATTGCACATAGTATCTCTGAGGGAGTAACTCTTAACTTTTGAGTTTGTTCTTTTTAAAGGTAGGTTGTTCAGCACTCCCTGAAGTCTGATACAAATCCTGAGGGTCTGATCTTAACTCAGTTGATCTGTTTAAGCCTTCAGTTGTACAAGCTGAGTCTATCTCTTTCTCCACCAGTAGGAAATTAGCTTTTGGAGGGTAAGGGCGGGTAGTTGTTCTAGTAGTGCGTGACATTGGTCGGAGTCAAAGGGGAAGGTCCCAGGAAATGTTGCTTAGCTTGCTTTCCACATACCAGGAGGCAGGATCTAACCCATATGTGAAACAAGCCCATATATGAGAAGAACAAATTTGCCAGGTAAGCATTTCATTTTCTAAACTATGCCATAACAGAACATTTTTGGTGTATGATTACACTGATCCTTCTCTTTGTGGCTTGCTGGACAGAAACTGTTGGAGGACATGATTGAGGAAGAAAGAAACTTGAAAGAGAAAATTGAAAATGATATTGAAATACAGAGGAAGCAGTTGAGTATCATCAGAAATGAACTCAAGCTAGATTCTTACCAGGTAAGTTTTTATTGATGATGATTTATTTATTGCTGATAAACATTGTCCATCAAATTGACTTTTGGGTCACTCCTATTTTGTTTAAGCAGGTTCTTTGCCTCTAGGCTATTGCAATAAATAAATATTCAAAAGTAGTTTCTATGCATATGTAAAGGTCTTGTGTTAAATCCCTGACATCTGTTGCTGCTGTTGTTATTTATTGAATTTATAAACCACCCTTCCCTGTAGGGCTCAGTACGGTGTACAACACAGTCAACATACAAGGCTAAAATGTACAATAAAATCAACAAAACAGTGATCGATGGCACACAATGCATTTCGCTCCCTCCCAGAGGCGGATCAGGTACTGGCCACGGTAAGGCCAAGATGAAAAGCCATGGTGTGAGCCGTTGCTGTCCTCAACCGTAGGCCTGGCGGAACATCTCTGTTTTACACGCCCTGCAGAACTGAACTAGGTCCCCTGCCTAGCTCAGTTCTGCAGGGCACAGATGTCACCAGGCAGAGAAATCTGTCTAGTGAGGACAGCTGGACGTCTTTTGGGCCAGGGATCACCAGCAGATTTTGATCTTCAGAGTGTAAAATTATTTATTATAGGTAACAACTAACTTGGTCTCATCTGTAGCAGTGCAGTCAAATGGGATCACCCCAGTTAGAGTTTCATTTTTGCACCTGAAGATCCTTAAAAATACAGAATGATATTTGTAAATATAAAAGTAAGGGAGAATTGTGAGGAGGGGGTTTGACCTGATTAAAACCATCTATGACTTAAAAGTGTCTTTTTGGTGCAGGGATTAAAGTGTGCATTACGGAATCCTAGTTTTTCCTTCTCATCCTTTCCTGCTGTGATTGAAATCCCAGCTGTTCTAAGCTTCTAGAGCTCTGGGCCTCTGTCCACTTCAAATTTTAGAAAAGCCCAAGGCAAATATAACCAAGAGAAGATGGAATGCTTCTCCAGTTACCCAAATCAGGAACTTTAAAAACCCTATTGGCTCTTGCAATGGGTGGTGAAATAAGAATTAATTTGTACACCCCAACTATTTCATGCCACATAGGCAGTGAGAAAGAAAAGTGCCCCCTGTCGTGCTGTACTATTTAGGCTTGGCTGGATAAGTGGTTTCCTGCTCGCTTGTACCACAGTCTGTTTTTTGAGCTCTGTCATTTTACACTACGGGGGTCCATCATAGATGACAATTTTCTGGTGAATCACTCTCCCTTCTTTGTGATTCCTTATGAACCCCCCAGCTTATCCACTTATGACAATGGAAGCTTATCAGCATAAGAGGAATCGCTGCACCGAGAAGTTACCGGGCTCTCTGCTGTGTTCCTTTTGCTGCCTTGCTGAATAGTGTATTTTAAACTCTTATTGGTTACTGCATGCAAATGTAGCTTGACAACTATTGAAGTTGGGCAGAACAGGGCTTAGAAAAAGTGTACCCTAATGTCTTCCCCCAACCTATTACTTTGGTGGCAAATTGCCCATGAACTGGTGCAGAGGGAGTTGGACAGAACTGAATGGCAAACCAGGTCAAGAGAACCTTGCAAGGAAAGGAGGTTCTTGGATGCAGGGCTGGTGAGCATCCTGTCAGCAAATCCTTGTGTTGGCTAGGCCAATTTCCCCTACTGCCTGAGGCCTCAGGGCTAGCTGCACATGCACTCCCCTTTGCTGTCAAGATATTTTTCAGCAAGGTGATGAGACATGCAATTGCAGCCCTAACCCTGGCCAGAATGAAGGAAAGTTTCTGGATATTCTCCAGATTGGGTAGTGTTTAACAGAGGCCTTGCCTTGCTTTACCCTCCCTGCTCAGTTTAGACACCATGAGAATCTCTAAGGAAATCCCCCACCTTTCAAGGAGATGACTGACCATAAGATATTTGGTTAATATAGAATGCCTTTTAAGTATAAGGCCTGCCATTTAATTTGTATCATGGAGGTAAACTTTTAGCAATGGCAAGAGTGAGGGCATTCAAATACACTTCCTCTAGAAAAGTTTAGGGCAGGAGCTTGCTGCTAGAGTTCTCTTTCTCTGCCTAATAAATTCACACAACAGGGCCACCCTTAGACTATAACTCTTGAATTCGGCAAACTGGGGCAGGGGAACAGTCAATTGTTTTTAAAAACCATTACTTAGTTTTGAAGTGAATTCCTCCTCACAAAAATCTCTCCTGCAGTGTGAAGACATAGCATGAGGTAGACCTCTGGAGTTATGGTTGTACTCAAAAGTTTCTGTAGTGACCCAAAGTGGCACATAGACACTAGAGGCTGTCTGGCAGTGACCAAGAGGAGAGGCAGAGTGACCAGCAGGAAAACAAACTGCTGGAGGGGAGCTGGAGCCATCGGGGTGGAGGGTTCACCTCCCATGTGGGAAGAGGGGGATAATTTATCTTACCCTCAGTGTTCCCTCTAAGCAGAGCTAGCTCGCAGTTTTTTGCCCCTGGCTCACTCATTTTTGTCTTCGCTCAGGAAGGAGGGCTCCAGAGCAAACTGATTTATGCAGTAGCTAAATTGCTCACTCACAGCTTTAATGCCAGTAGCTCACAAAGTAGAATTTTTGCTCACAAGACTCCACAGCTTAGAGGAAGCATTGCTTACCATCCATCCATTTGACACAGTGGAGTTTTTGAACATGAGGTACAGGAGTAGGTAGGTATGTAGCAAATACACGCAAACTGTTTTAAATCCATGGGCCCTAGCAAGTGCTACAAAATGGCATTTGCATTGGGAAAGGGATCCTCTGTGTGACCCTGGATGATGTTTTGGAAGGTGCAGTTCCCCTGTTCTTTTTTTAAAAGCGGGTTAAATGGTAGCCAAGTATTGTAAGGCACCTAGCATGCCCAAATGTAATTTCTGCTCATCCCTTCCACTTGCTGTATTTGGCGATTCATTTCTGGACTTAGGCATTCTCTGACTTTTCACAGGTTGAAGAAGGCTTATCCATGCTTCAGCTCGAGAGAGAGTTTCGCTTGGCTTTAGAAGCTGCTGTTAAAGAAAAAAGAGGGAGGCTGGAGAAATTGAAACAGCTGCAGCAAGAAGATCAGGCACTGTGTACAGAGCTTTGTGCCACCCCCTATTACATCCCTACCGGCAGTGTTCCCACTTCCCTGGAGCTGGCAGAACTCGAAGAACATGTTCAGAATCTCTTGCAAGTAAAGGTATTGACACATCTCATTTTCTTCATTTAAAAACTGGAAATAAAATGCTTCTCCAAGATATAAGTGAATCACTTCTGAATGCTTGGCCTGGAAAACTTTCATGGAGTTCAGTTTATGCAAAATTGGCTTCTGTGAGCATTCAGAGAACTGTAGAGCCAGTCTCACTAAACGGTAAATGAACTGGTTGTTTGTATACTATCTGTATTTCTGAATGGTCAGAGAAAGCTAGGTTGAATTCCTGAATAGCACTTCCAGTTCATAAAACTGGATGCGTTCATCAGCAACCTTGGTCTGTTGTTCTGAAAATGATCTTTAATGTAAGGTTTCCCAAACAAGAAGCCTTAAAGCAGTAAAATAACCACTTGTTTTATCTAAATGTATTTAACAATTTAAATTGTTTATTTGAATAGGAGCAAAGATTGGAAGAGTTCTTAAAACTGAGAAGAGAAATCAGACAGTATAATAAAGAAATTGGCCATATACCAGATGGCACACTGGAAAATGAGATGCTGCTTGATGATGAAGAATATATTTGCCTTACAAAGAAGAATATTGAAGATCTTAAATCACTTGTTAATCAGGTTGGACTTGGAATGGCTATCACAATTATCAGTGTCTTGCATGATAGTGGGTACCACTAATGGGTTGTCAGTCAACCCAGGTGAGGGTGAAGCCAATTTAGCTGAGCAGACTAGTGAATTATAAGCCAGTGTTCAGGTATGGTATTCAGCTGAGCTACATTAAGCAGCAGAAGAAGAAAAGATTGGATTTATACCCTGCCCTTTACTACCAAAGGAGTCTCAGAGCGGCTTACAAACTCCTTTCCCTTCGCCTCTCCACAACAGACACCCTGTGAGGTTGGTGGGGCTGAGAGAGCTCTGACAGAAACTGCTCTTTTTCAAGAACAGCTGTGCCAGAATTTTGGCTTGCCCAAGGTCATCCAGCCAGGTGCAAGTGGAGGAGTATTCTCCCAGATTAGAGTCCGCACACAACCACTACACCAAACTGGCTCTTCCGGAATAGTGCACTTATGAAATAGTTTAGAGTGAGTTGAGCTGGCAAGCTACATATAGTTTTGATTTACAAAGAACATGGCACAGATGTGTTATGGTGGCACAAATTTTCTGATCCCTTCTTTCTCTTTCTCCTTAAAAAAACCTCCAAAACTTCCTTTGGGGTTTTGCAGCCTTCCCGTTAGTGCAATGTAGAGACTTGTCAGTCTGGTGGGGCACTATTTAGCTGAGTTAGTTGCTTTGTGGGATTTAGTAGTTCCTGGGGAGGAAGGAATAAAGATCTCTCCCTGGGCTGCTGCTCCCTAGTGTGGATTCGCATGTTCAGAATTTTCAGTGCCATAGGGCTGCACACTGATAAATACTTGACAAGGGTGAGAACCGAATCGATCTTTCTGTGTTTTTGTTTGTGCTACATCTATGAAGCTTACTGCTGCTTTCATTTTACTTGTGCTAACAGCCAAAGTCAGCTCAAGTCAGAACTGTTCAGTCACAGGAGTAATATTCTGACCTCTTTTTTTCTTCTAAGCATCTAGGTACATTATCTTATACAGTAATCAAAATGTTTGCTTGTCATATTATCTTGCGTGATATGCCGAGGGGATCCAAGTGGATCAGCTTTGCCGCTGTAAGGACTAGAAACCTGCCCCTTTTTTGTGGGGGGAAGGAAGCTAATGGTTTTCTGGGAGCTGGATTTTGGTCCTGATACCATCCTTCTAGTACAGCTGTAGAATGTTAAGGCTGTAGGAGCAAGTTGCAGTATCTTCTCCATCTCTTAAAAGTCCCCCCATCTCTTATTCCTTAAAGGTGTTATTGGGCACAGACAACTAGGAGAATATTACTGAGGAATTCCTATGGACTCTGTGTCTCTTAACTGATGTAAGTACACCCTTTTTAGTTGCAGCTCAAGAAAGAATCCTTGACTGCCAGCCTTGAGACGGTGGCGGAAGAAGTGCAACTTCTGTGGGACAGACTTCAGTGGCCGCAAGAGCAGCAGGAGGACTTTAAAAGAATCACAAGCAAACGCTCTATTTCTGAAGCACTAAGGATGGTAATGGTCAGATTTCTGTATCTCCCTCCCAGATGTATGCGCTTCTTTGACTGTGCTTAAACACTCCCCGTGGACTCCAGTCCAATGTGGAGTGACACTAAATTCCACGGTCCTGAACTTGCAAACACAAAGGACAGTTGGGCTTTGACAAAAAACTGTGCCTGCAAGGTGAGAGTTCTTGCACTGCACCAGCAAGAGGCTTTCAGATTTTGTCCCCTCTTTCCATGTCAACTAATCAGATGGAATTCCTGTGCATGTCATAGGGGAGGCCATTTGTGTTGAGTAAGTGGCCAGCCCAGCCTCTCTGCTCCCCTGCACAAACTACAAATGCAAACCAGAACACCTCCGAATATCTTGTGGCTGCGCATTATAGGGAAAGATGAAGAATGAGGGGGCAAGCTGCATTTCAGGGAATCTTGTCACTGATGATCTCATTAAGGAGATCTTAATTTCTGAGCAGAACCCCTTGGTTCCCTGGAGTACCTTATAACTGCTGAGGTATGCACGCTGCTGGTTGTGATAGCTAGCTGACTAAAAAAGGCTCTATATGGCATGCCATATTCTAGCTTTTTTGTGGGAAAGGATCAAATAGCTGATTCGATGACTTTGTTTGTACACACACGAGTACAACTATTTTAAAACATGTCTTGGGTGGAAGTAACTATAAACACTTCAGTATTCAGTCTTTACACAGCCATAATTAATGAGAACATAATGGCCAGAGAAAATATGATAATTTCTTATCAATACCTCCAGGAAAATCATAGATGGTCCTTTCACTGGTACACCTGACATGTTTAATTTATAATAGTTGTACTCCTGACACTTTGACCATAAACCAAAAATGGATGAGTAAACTTACATTCAAGTCTTTGCTACTAATATGCATGCAGAAATCAATAGATGAACTGAACATATCACAAATGAACAAAATAAATACTAGGTTCACTGGAAATTTGTATCAGTCTGATAAATAAGTCAATATAATTTTCCGATAAAGTAGCCAGCAGCTTTAGATCTCTCCTGACTTGGATGGGGTTGTACTCCCCTTGAAAAGTCAGGTTTGCAAATTGGGAGTGCTGCTTGAACCAGCAGTGACCCTAGAAAACCAGATGGTTTCTGAGGTTTGGAGTGCGTTTGCCCAGCTCCAGCTGATATATCAATGGCATCCATTCCTGGGTCAGTCAGATCTAGTTACATCTAGTTACATCTAGACTAGACTACTGCAATACATTCTACTTAGTGCTGCCCTTGAAGAGTGTTGGGAAGCTGCAGTTAGTGCAGAATGCTGTGACTATATTGCTGGCTGGGGCCAACTTTTGGGAACATATGTCCCCAATGCTACAAAAATTACACTGGCTGCCAATCCACTTACGAGCCCAGTTCAAAGTATTGGTTTTGTCCTTTAATGCACTACATGGCTTGGGACTGGGCTAGCTGAGGAACCGTCGTTTCCCATAGGTTCCTGCCTGGGAACTAAGATAAAGGGGAGATGCCCTCCTGAGCAATGTTCCCTCTAAGCCATGGAGTCTTGTGAGCAAACACTCTACTTTGTGAGCTTCTGGCATTAAAGTTGTGAGCCAGCAATTTGGCTACTGCATAAATTACTTTGCTCTGGAGCCGTCCTTCCTGAGCTCAGACAAAAATGTGTCAGCTGGAGGCTAAAAAACTGTGAGCCAGCTCACACTAACTTAGCTTGGAGGGAACACTTATGAGTGTCCTACTGATTAAAGATGCTCGTTCGATGGGTACATGAGAGAGCACCTCTTCCATGGCAGCCCCACTATTATAGAAAAACTTTCCCAGGAAAGTGTGCATGGCCCCCTCATTGTCAATCTTCAAGAGGCACCTGGAGACAGTACTATTTAGGACTCCATTTTGATTGGTCTAGCTTTTACTACTGGCAGTCCTAACTGAAGGTTTTAAACTGGGATTTTTTTAGGCTTTATAATTTTTGTGTGTGTGTGTTTTTATAATGTTTTATTTATATTGTAAGCTGCCTTCAGTTCTGCAAGAGAGAAAACTGGTTAATGTTTTTAAATTAGTAATAATCCAAACCATTATGTTGTCATAATTGCTATATATGCTTAAACGCCTCTTACAATACAATAAATGTTAAAGACTCATTGTGGGTATTCCTGTAGCATCTCCATATGAAGTCAACAAATCTCACAACTCTTCTGTAACCCAATACAAAAATGTCTATGTGTTCCACCAGAAATAATGGGAGTATAGTGAGCATCTGGAAGTATATTATATTTTCTCCAGCTGGATACAACTGAAATAATGAATCTAAGCAACAAGACTTCAGGTTGGCAGTCCGCCCTAAGGTGCTGATTTGGTTAAATTGCCTGTGTATATCCACGGAGAAGGAACAGTGGCTTTGAACCTGATACATTGCTGTTAAGGAAGTCTTGGCTCATCTGTGCAGTGGGTGACCTTGGTCTTGCTTCTTGCAGCAATGCATCAGTGTGTTCCAAGTCTTTACTATCTAATTTGTTTTTGGCAACTGCTGTCAAGCTGCAGCCTGACAAATTTGGTGGCTCAGACTTAAAATAGTGTTACTCCTGTGCCACAGTACTAAGCTAGCAGGGAGGATAATGGGAAAACCAAGTGTTTTCCCTACCCGAAATGTGCTTCTTGCTGTAGTGCATTTTGAGTAGCTAGCCTCCCCCCCCCCCCCAAAAAGCTCATCTGACAAGGAGGGCACTAGACACATTAAAACAGTGTTGAAAAGTGAAAGTCAATTTCAACACCTTGGTGGTCAATTTCACACAAAGATTTCGGTTTTCTAAAACTTCATATTAATGTAGAAGAGTCTTTTGTTTATTACAGCCTGCATTATACTGTTTTTTTCTGACGGCATTTGTAGCAGATGTGTAAAAATGGAAGCAATAACTATTAACTGCTCGATGAAATGTCTTTTGCTACATGCTGTTCCTTTGCTTTCATTAGTGGGAAGAACAGTTGCTGAACCTGGAAGAGCTGAAGAAAGAGAAACTGAAGGACCTTATTTTGAAAGTCAGGCAACAGCTCAATAGCTACTGGCAAAAGTGTTTCTATAGTGACGAACAGAGGGCTGCATTTCAGCCTTTTCATAATGGTAATTCCCTCTTCAGCTTTTGTCTTTCACGTTCCTGTTGCAAGTTTGCTTACTGAATTTCCTGTTTCTGTAAATGACAGGTTTTATGACTGAAGGCATTTAAACCAATTTTGTAATTCCTATGAAATGAGAACCTGACCTGTTGTCTGCTCCGAAGGGTGGGACAACCCACTTTAAAGACTTGCTTCGCTGGGTTGTAATTGCAGTGATTGAACAACATACCCTACTTAAGCCTTTGCTTTCTACTTGCCGAGTCTAGCCATATGCGTCGTACAAACTAATGTTCGTTTACTTGCCCCAGACAATTTCACAGAAGACTTGTTGAGTCAGCATGACGAGGAACTTCTGAATATGAAACTCAAGTATGAGAAGAACCAGCTTATGTACACGAGTGTACACAAATGGGCAACCACATGGGAGCGTTTCATTGAATTGGAGGTAGGCTCCACTGTGTGTTTAAAGGTATTGCATTGAAGAGGGAAAGTCAGAATTAAAAAGGATCAGTTATGGATTCTCATCCTTGTGGATTATGGGCAACCTTGAGCAACGGCTCAGCCCCAGGAGATGTCATGGGTTGCTTATGTCCTTAGTACTGATGATCTGCTATCACCTGCAAAGGGATGGTGTGGGTAGATTTGCTCTGTTGAGGATTTGGATTTTTTTGCAGGAAATTGCTGGAGGGGATGGGAATTATCTGCCTCAAGTCCTTGAGAGCTTAGAATTCTTAGGGAGAAGGTTAGCCTCTCTTACCTGCCCCACCAGTGATTCCTCAGGCTTCTCCACTCATTCAGCGTTCTAATGCAATTGCCTGTAAGTGGCTGGCATGTAAAAGTTAAATCCTTTTTGCCCGTTCAAGGTTCTTCCATTTTCCACCTCTTATAAGTGAAACTGAACTATGTTTGGAAATATGCTACTTCATGAAATAAGCTACTATGCTAGTGTAGAAACTTGTTTCAGTCCGTACAAAACATTACTTCTCTATCTATGGAGATAAAAATCAGATGCTGGTGAGCATTCAGAAGCTGATTCTGATTAGCAAGAACCTTGGTGTATTGTTTAAATGACATTGTATGGATTTCACATGGCTGAGTTGTTCCCAGTTACTATGACATTTAATGTGTATGGTGACACATTACTGAAAAGATCAGATCAATGTCTACAATAAAACAGGAGTCCCGAGGCACTGTAAAGACTAGAAAATGTGTCAAAATAGACCTGAGGATAGTGTCTCGTTCACATAATAAGAATCTAAGCCTCAGGATATGTGTTAGCTTCATATTAATCACATAGCAAACATCAGTGTAAACAAACAGTAATCCAGTTAAGGTAGCTGATTTGTGCTGTGACTTTGAAAAGCCTGCTTTAAGTGAAGAAGGTTATGCCTACTGATGTAAAATGTTGCCCCCAAGTGTTGTTGTTTTTTTGGGTAACGTTTGGGAAAAAATGAAATGCACGCAATACTATCAAACCTAATTTTACTGCTTTATAACGACATAAAACCCATCATTTATAATTTAGTGTCTAAAATTGCAGTATTTGAAATGTTTATGGAACTTCAAATTTATAAATGCCTTAATTTTCTACAAGCAAAACTACAGCTATACCCAATACTTAAGCGAAAACCACAGGCTGATGCACCTTGTGCTGCTTTAACGCTTATACCTCAGTTTTTGCTCTCTGAAAAGTAGGGGGGAAATTAGGAGTTAGACAGGAAACATAAGATTTGTGTTAAATAGTATAATATGTTTGGTCAGAAATAAGAGTCATCCAAAGGGTCAGTAATAAGATCTGCACAGCTTAGCTTGTAGATTCTAGCTTTATGCTTTCTTCTCCCTTGTGTGACTAATAGTTAGTGAGAGCTCAATTTTGAATGAAACTTCCAGAGATTTCCTCTGAGGCTTTGGTGCAGTTTTCTGTCCCACCTCCTTCTGATCCCACCCCCATCCCCCAGCAAGGGACGGCAGTAAGTTGCTTGATACTGAATTTATAGGTATGTGTCATAGTGGTTTGAAGTGAAAAGGTCAGCTACAAGACAAGAGTCATGTCAAAGGGCCACAGAAACAGGGAAGGCGCTGCATGCTGCCCTCGTGAAGGTCAGGTATAGGAGGTCTAGGTATAGAAATGCATCTTGGGTTTAAGAGCTGTGTAGGTCTGTGTAGTACCCTGCTGACTTTGAAAGCATTTAACTCATTCTAAAGGAGAAAATATTTCATAGGGGTATTTTTCAGTGTTCCCCAAAATTTCCAGTTTTTTCATTGGAAAAATGAAAAAAGGCCTTGGGAGAAAATTTTTAAGGTTTCCCCCCGGGTTTTCACATCTTTAGTTATGCCAAATTTCATGTGACATAAAAGCTATTATAGCAGTACTTGAAGCATTTAAAAATGACATTCTGTTTATTGGTAGTGTACATCATGATCCCTGTTGGTAACCAGTACTGGTGTACCAGTTGGTTTTTCCTTGAAACTTGCAAAACTTAGAGTGATTTGTTCCTTGGATATATACGTAATGCTGTAGGAGCAGCAATAATGTTTAATTTGCTCTGTATGGTAAGAAAATGCCTGTTACTGATACGTAACCAACTGTGCTTGCATTCAGAAAAAATCGACAGATCCAAGCAGACTTCTGAACAGAGGAGGTAACTTGCTCAAAGATGAAAGGGAGCGGTCAAAGATCCAAAAGCAGTTGTTAAAAGTAAGTGCTAGGGTATAGCTATTTGGGTTTGACCACACTGAGCTTCCATAGCTTAAACTCAGCAGATGTGTTACCTGTTATGTCAAGAGCAGAGCATAAACAAGGGCTAAGTTTCATACCTCCGTCCAAATTATTTATATGTTCAGAACACCTTGTAGTTCTCTAGCTAACTACGTGTACAGCATGGAAAGGTGTTTGATTGCAACAGAGTTGAAGAGTTCTAAAGTGCTTTGAAAAGTGTGTTAAACTGGCGTTTAGCCGGGGCATTACACAGGTTGGCTGTAATTTTACAATAATACTTATCAGGTGCCTTTCTATGTGTGTGGCAGCCAAGGCAGCACATTTTAATTTTTCTGCGTGTTGACTTGAATTTGACTAGATAACTGATGAATCTGACTAGATTGATGAAACTTTCTTTGACACTAGTTGAGTGAAGACCTGAAGGAAAGTGTTGAAAGCTGGGAAAGAGAAAATGGTGCTGACTTCCTCGTCAACAATGAGAGGCTTTTAGACTCCATAGCCCATCAGTTGGAACATCATAGGCTTAGAAAAGATCAGACAAAAGCAGTAAGTCTTTTTTTCTTTTTTGGCATGCTAAAGTCACTCAGCCAAATCCTAACCATGGGCGAAACAAGAAGTAAGTCCTGGCTAGCATTAATGATGGTAAACCGTCAGTGTGAATAATGAAGAGAGAGGGAGTATCTGGATGATGGTGTTTGGTTTTTGCAGACCTGAGTCACGGCTGGGCCTTGCCTGTCAATGGTTGCGGCTTTGGGGGGGGGGCTGCCTGGGTAAGGGGACAGCAGCAGTTTAGGCAAGATGCTCTTAGCTTTTCAGAGGGTGCAGAATGCAGGTACATAGTGGAGCCAGTGATGTTGTTTCTGCATTGAGTTTCTGCCGTGTTCTGGAATGCTGGGTTAATCTGTGATGTGTTACTACCTTAGGGCCTAAATGTGTACTGCTGTGGCTGTGTTGGTTTCTAAATGGGACCCTCTTATGAAAAGGACAGTTTAGAGTGTTACTAGTGAGTAAAATACAATCATTTCAGAGATCAAATCTCTTGTTTTGCAGTCTGTGAAGAGGGATGAATCAGCAGGGCCAAATTCAGGTGTTAAAAGACCTGCAGGTGTATATACGCCGACTCCCAAGAAGATACGCAAGGTAAAACATTGCCTGTTTGGAAGAGTATCTGGTAGGAACTTGATAGCACAAGTTGAAGTATATATGATATATAGATTTGTTAGGGTACATTTAGGTTGTCTTTTTCCTGGAATGTGCAGTACTGAGTACTGGAATGTGCAGTTATCTTGGATTTCTCTCAGTAACTGAGGATATTGAGGGGGAAATATCTGTGTATAGCTTTGTGGAGAACTGGGCCTCACAAGATGCTGTAAGGTAGAAGGCTTCTCAGCCGACTGGATCTCCATCAGCCCAGCTTCCCTTTCTGAGAGATCAGCACTTTGGAATATCTCCAAGCCTGGGGCTGTCTTGTTCAAGGGACAGCTTTCTTCTTCTCAGCCTTAGGTAGCCAAAGCTGCTAGTGCTAGAAGAAATGAGACACAAGATCCAAATTTGCCTGATAGCATCCCAGGGGAAAGGCACACACAGTTATCTGCTTGGACCAATTAAATCCGTAGACTAGGATTACGAAGCTCTCAGGGCAGTAATTAGTCACTGAAGATTAAAATATGTCAAACATGAGCTTGTATTACTAATGTAAAAATTGCAGGGGTGAGGCAGGGCTGTTTGATCTGTAGTCTCCAGCTAACTCTTGATATTTAGTAACACTGTGATGATAACATCCTTTTCAAAACTATCAGCCAACTATTCTGGTAAAAGGTGCTCAAACTTCAAAAAGTTGGTTTTACAGGCTTGGGAGCTGAAGCACTTGCTCACCACTGGCTCTTTAGTTACTTTCAAAAAAGGAATGTGAGACTGATGTTGTTCGAAGCCTGTGAGTATGAGACACAGGGTTTCATTGGCACCCCTGAGAATGTTTTCATGAGACAATTTAAGATTGCACTGGAATTCCACCGTTCAATGCACTGTTTGTCAAACGCTTGAAGCATTGTGTTTCTGATGCTAACCTGAAACTCTGTTTTGCAGGAGAATGGAACTGTACTTAAATCGAGCAACTGCTGTAATATCGCAACCAGAAATGCTGGCAAACCATCTGGTCAAATCAAGGTGAGTAAAAAGCATCAAATTGCTTTTTATAACGGTATGTTAAAAGCAAGCTTGCTAGTGGTCATAAGATGGTGTTTAAGGGATGATATTGAACAGTGCAGATGTGATACTTAGCTAGCAAAGGTTGGATTTTCCTGAAATCATGGCTGAGGGGACCCAGACAGCAGGAGTTTGTGGCACTTGTCCAAAGTACCCAGCCTCATGGGTCTTCCCACGTCAGTCAGGCATTATATATATGTGTGTGTGTGTGTGTGTGTATTCCCACTTACGTTTCCACTATGGTGCTTGTTCCCCTGCTCCCTAGACTAGATATAAGAGTGTTGAAGGTATGGGGGATGGAACTGGAGAATGTGCTGAAGATTCTATGTCACACTTGACCGTTGACAACTTAAAAAAAAAATTGGCCACCACGGAAGCACCAAGGATCTAGTGTAAATAAGGTTATAAAGACCGAATGAATACCTTTCTCTGAAGGTTCATTTGTCACTTTTTTACTCCCTTCCACCACCAAACTTGTTTTTACCTTGTGTCGTTTTTGGGTGTTAACAATATGTGACTTGTGTATGTTTTTAAGTGTATCATTAATACCTGAAAGCCTTTGGTGACAGGAGAATCTTGAACTTAGAAGAATGTGAAAAGAAGGACAACTCTTTGTTCTGTGTATCAGGGTAAAAACCAGTCTTCCCCAACATTTCTGAGCCTGCAGACTCCTTGGGAATTATGATACAGGGTGGTGGGTGCAACCACAAAGTATCAGGGAGTGAGGTTATCCATATCTCTGATAGATACTCTTCAACATTTTAGGCAGATGCTTTGTTTAGCAGGAGGCCTTCTAAAATGAATATAGTGTTTAAAAATATTTCCTTGCAACATCTTTAGGTTACAGGGTTAACTTCTTGGTGAACCATGACTACCAAAAGGCAAGTGCAGTCTAGTATCTTCCATCCGTAATAGTTTCTGAAAACTAACCCTAAAAGATTAGCGTTGATGCCTTCCACAGCCTAAAGACTGCTCTCTATGTTTTTATCTCAAACAAGAGTACATCCTTTTAGATTCTAGTCAGATATCTCCTCTGAGGATAAGCGTAATGTTTTTTGAGGAGGAAAAGGAATAGTCAAAAACAGAGTGAATGTTCAAGATCAAGTAAGCAAGAAATCTTCAAGTTTCTGCCTTTTATTTATTGATAATGCTAAGTGACTGACAATATTTTCTTATGTATATTTACTTGGAAGCAAGTCTCACCAAGTTCAAGTGATTGTTGCAATTTTTCCAGAAGGCTTCAAACAGGAAATTGCTTTGGACAGTCAAAAGAATTGGAGCAGATGGCTGAATAGCTGTGAATTTGATATTGTTTCATTGCCTAGGTGTGACAGGTTACCTTCAATTACAGTTTTCATTTTAATTGCAAGCAAGCATAAACCAGTGGATGTGAATTAGGCAGGCTTTGGCTATTAATGTTCTTCCCTAGCAGCATTGGGTGGTAGCCAAGACTTCAGCCATGTTTCCCCTTCTCATTTGACTCCTGGAAAAAGAATGCCTAGAACTGTAGTACCTATGTGAACAAAAAGCAACGCAGATGGTGAGGGGGGGGGGGGGGGGGGAGGAAGGGGAAATCAGGCAAAATCCTTTTCTCCATGTTCAGCAAACAGAGCCATATGTGCAAGAGGGAAGATATCTGTGCCCAGTTCCACTTCCCTTCTTTTCCCACACAGATTCCACTATGGGATTCTTAGAATCAAAAGGGTCTGGTAAGAAAAGGTGAATACCGGAAAAAATCAACACACGTGGTAGAGTTTTGTTAGATACAAGCCATTGTATTTTGACTTTTTGGATTATTTTCAATTACTCTTTGCCCCGTTCTGCCAGAAAGTGAATTTTTAATAGTTCACTGGACAAGTTAACAAAGACATGCACACTATAGTAATGATTTGAGCTATAATGTACATTGTGAGTGTCTTACTGGTAAACTGGGTCACTGGCACTGCTCAAAATGAGCCTAAAAGCTTATGCTGTCAAAAGCAAGTCTTCCAAACATAGCAAGAGAAAGAGAGATCATGCCAGCCTAATGGATCTTCAGGTAATGGGAATATGTGCTGGGATGATCTGTGGGAGATCGAGCCAGCTCCTTGGTAAACGAGTGGGTTCAGGGAGGTTAGGGTAGGTGAGGGTAAGGCCTAAGCGGAGTATATTTCTAGTGGGGTTAGCATGAACAACATTCTATAAATGTCGATAAATCTAACTTGCTAACGGATTTCTAGTAGCACCTTAGAGACCTTGGTATCTGTCAGAGGAAGCTTTGACTCTGGCAAGCCTGTAGCCTGGAAATCTTCTTGGTCTCTAAAGTGCTACTGGACACGAATCTAGTTCTTGTGCTGCAGATCAACACAGCTGCCCCCCCCCCCCCCCCCCCTCCCTTTTTCTTGCAGCCGCTTAATAAGCAAGTGTTGAAGCTAGACCTCAAAATGTGGCAGAGAGTGATGTGGCAGAATTTAAAAGGTACTTCAGATGAAAAGAGTATGGCTTTCATGATATATAGTGCAGTTGAAGAACAGAAGTAGGGGGGAATGTAGAACAGCGTCAGTTCCACTCGTTGAAGGAGGTGTTGGAAGCTCTTGTATAATTGTGAAATGTATTGCATAGAATCTTTCCTTCCCATGAAATAAACAAGTGATCCAGTTCAGACTTTAAGGGATCTTAAAGATTGTACTTAATGTAACTCAAGACAAGTAGGTGTAATTATAATTACGTTTTGCAGACTCCTTCCAAAAGCATACCTCTAGATTCCCTGCACCGACCACCATTGGAAGAGTGCAAGGAAAGCATACCAGACAGTCAACTTAGCTATTCAGATTTCATGGTATGTCTTCACTGTGTTTCCTTAATCACGTAGCTTTATAGGAAATGAGCAGAGGCTACTTTAGAAGGAAGTTCAGAAGCAGAGTTCTGAACTTAGCTGAAATGATTTGAGACTGTAGCCAGGATAATTTTTGTCCAGATCAGAATTCCAATGCTTGTGAAGTTCATTAGCTCAGTAACGGGCTTAATGTGGATTTAGGCTTAACAGTTGACCAAAGCTGCCTGGGAGCGCAGTTCATGACAACATTGTTGCCTTGCGTTATATACCTGGCAGTTGTACCTGAAATGTTTCTCCATGCATGATGGCTAATTCTAGGAAGAAACTTGGGCCTTTAGGATTAGTTAACCCATTAATTTGTTGTAAAATAACCTACCTTACTACCCTGGCTGTCCACTGATAAGAAATTCCAGTGTCATTTGAGCCAGTTCTATCTCCTCTCCCTGTCATATCTTAATGTAGAAACAAAATCCTTTTCTGCACCCCATCAAGCTTTGGCTCTGCTTTGATGACATGGTTGCGGAAAGGTATCACCTGTTAGCTTATTTGGGATTTGGTCACCTGTATTTGGGATTTGGTCACCTGTATTTCATATCTGTGTGCCCAGTTGGTCTTCTCTCTCTTGCTTGTGGGTACGTCACTTCTCCACTGGCCTCCCTATTCGTATCCTCCTAAGCTGTGCTGTACTTGGCCTCCAAAATTGTGCATGCTTATCTTCTCCTTCAGTCTCTCCCTCCACTCACTTGACTATTCTTGTACTCCCTCCTCTTCTTCTCTAGAACTGCTACTTCCTGACCCAAAGAGCAGTCCACTCCATGACCTCCTGAAACCTCCTCTTGCCTCCCCTCATGCTGCAGAGTACCACCTCCTTTTCCAGAGAAGTATATTTTCCAATATACTTCTGTGACAGCTGCAGTGATGAGAGTTGTCACTCTTGCCAAATCCTTTCAGCTTCTGCCCCTTGGTGCTTCTCAAGCACACCTGTGTACCTATTGCTCTGTGTTGCTTTAGTATATAGCTGCCTTCCAGTTTTCTTACCAGATGTGACTGTTGAGCGTGTAGCCTTTTCCCTGCCAAAATTATCCCACCTGGCTTCTTGATGGCTTTATACGTGTGTGCTGGGTTTTGTTTACTTCATTTATACCCCAGTTTCCTCCACAGTGGGGACCCAAAGTGGCTTACGCTGTTCTTCCCACCTCCATGTTCATCCTCACAACAATCCTGTGGGGTAAGCCAGTGGTCATCTGGCAAGCTTCCATGGCAGAATAGGAAGTCGAACCTGTGTCTCCCAGATCCTAGTATGACACTCGAAATGCTGTATGACATACTTACTTCCTACCTTTACTTTCGGCCAGTGACTTTGATGCAACACTCCTGTTCACTGGTATATCTACTCCTGACAGCAAACACAGCATTGCTCTGTTGGAACTCTTTGGGGATGTTGCTTTCAGTATTGCATGCATTCTGCTCTCCCTCATTCTCTCTTCAGTCTAGTTCAATAGTGGGTTTTTTTTTGGGGGGGGTGTCTTTTTCCCTCACAACTCAACAGTAGCCACCCTTCAGTTCTCGCTTCATTTCCTCCCACTAATGCTCAACCCTGGCTTATTATCACCCTATTTGTTGCGTCTGGTTGTGTTCTCAAGCAACCGAGTGTCTTTGGACACAGTCGAAAGGTTTGGCTGACTTGGCTCGTTTTCAGTGCGAGCTTTTGCTTTCTCTGCCAGCTGCTCAGACAAGCATCATTACTGCAGAACCATGATCACTCATTCTGACAATCCCTCCTCTACCTGAATCTGCCAGCATTGCCACTCCCCCCTCACGTGCTAACCAAGAAAGACTTGCTTTCTTCAGTAACACAAATGACTTACCTACTGCTATTTCTCTTCTTTCCTTTCTATCCTCCCCCTAATTTTTCTTGACAAATGGCAGCTCTGTTTCTCCTCCTTCTGTCTTGGAACATACCATGATCTGCTTCATTCTCAGAGCCTTCCAAATGGTGAACATCACCATTCATCCTGTTGACCAGGCTATGCAATCTTGGCAGCAGTTCCTTTTATACTCCATATTTAGCTGCCGAAATCATTCACCACTCCTGTTGCTCAGACCCTGTAAAGTCCCTCCTACAGCTTTTTCGCCAGCTTCTCATTCCTTTGCATTTCTGGGACAAAGCTTTTCAAGACCTTGTCTCAGCTTTAACCTTCCTCCCTTTCTCGTTATATCCCTGTCTGCTCCTACCAGAGTCTGCCACCTGAAGCTCTCTTTCAGAGTTCTGTTTATTCTCCCTTGAATTCCTCATGCATGCAGTTCTCTTCCTGAATGTGCTTATGGTGTCACCTCTGTCCTCAAATCCCTAACCCTCATTCCCAAATTTAACCAAGTTCTAATGACATTTATCTACACTTGTTTGGTGGTTCTTTTGTTCCCTCAGAGTAGGTCAATAAATCCCTTTTGGAGTAACTCTTTTGGCTTGTTAAACCTGGGGTTGGATCTCATGATCTGTGAGTGGAGGATTGGTCATCTTTTCTGCAGCTCCACCTGACCGTGGAAAATTGATTATTGGGGTTCTAGGAAACACACAGTCGAATGGCCATGTGGATTGGAAGGCTGCACTGAGGAGAGGGTGAAATTAATGCTTCTCATGCTTCAAGCGTTAGCTCTGCTGATGAAGTCTCATTTCACTTTCCACTAGGTGCAGCCTCCCAACCGGCATGGGTCCACATGGGTCCCGTGAGCCTAGGAATTATTTTTCCCTGGGTCAAAATGAACTTCTGAAGAAGGGGAATATGTGAGAGATCTGTGGCCATTAGTGTCTTTCACTCACTGACTGAATGATCCAACCTTAGGTTGCCATATACACTGATGGTGCTGTAAAAACATCCCATAGACATAGGGATCTCCCTTGGTTATAAGTGCATGATGGCAAACATGAAAAGCACTGAAGGTCATCTATTTAGATATCTATGTCCTGCTTTTCTCCTCAGTGGAGACCCACTGTTGTTTTGTAAGCCGCCCTGAGTCAGCCTTGGCTGGAAGGGCGGGATAGAAATTTAATGAATCAAATCAATCAATCAAAGTGACTTACAACACACAATTCTCCCATCTTTCAGTCACCCTGCAAGATAGGTTAGGCAGAATGTGTGTGACTGGCCGACAAGCTTCCATGGCAGAGTAGGAATTAAAGCCTGGGTCTACCAGATCCTTGATCCAACACTCTAAACAGTATGCCGTGATTGTAAGCTAAACAAATCAGATACTCGGTACAGGAACACTTGATCCTTAACCTGAGCAGCTAGCTAGGATTAATTTGAGTGACAAGTTCATGCTTCCATATGCAGACAAGTTCTGCATCTAAACTTTTAACAAGCAATTCTAGAAGATTGTTTTCTAGAATTAAAACTAGGTTATGGTCTAGATAAGACGAGGAAAATTCTGTATCAAACAATCTATAATCCAGGATGCGAAAGATTGGGCTAAAATCTTTAGTTACCGTTGCAGCAAATTGAGCTGGAGGTAGTAGAGGTGCTCTCATTTAAATATTTACTTGGAATACTGGGTAATTGTTTCAGTCCTCTCAAAACTTGTGGTTCCATTATGTTCGCTAGCATTAAGGATAGGTTCAGACCAAAGTCCAGCAGGGAAAAATTACAAGTAGCTAATGCCTGGGTCAAATTCCACTAAGCGGTTTGTCATACAACTGTGAACATCAAAAAAATGTATATACAACACATTTTTCAAAAAGTCTATGGGGCATACTGGGTTGGGAATGACAGATAAGAGGATTAGTCATCTATTTTATAGACCTTAGCTGAAATATGAAGGGGCAGTGTACAGCAGTATCTCTTCTAATCTATCTATGTAACTCCTATGCTGGCACTCTGCTGCTAGAGAAGAATGTAACTCTCTCTTTAAAACATTACAGAAAGACCTGTCAGTGAAATCCAGCAGCAACAGAATTTTCAATTCTACGTTAAAGGAGAACTTGAACTGATGAGCCTTCCTCCACTGGAGCTGAAACATACCCCGAGGTCCGTTGTATAAAGGGATTTATTTTAAAAAATTAAGTATTAAACATGCATACAGTGCTTTTGTGTACAGGCCTTATAAATAAATACTTTGTTTTTCTAAAAAGCGATTGTTATGACTGTATAAGGGAAGTAACATGAAGAGTTAGAGGAGGCTTCTTTTGGAGAGATGACCTGTTCTAATGAAAAGTGCTCCCTAAGAAGCTGCCAAGGACTGACTGAAAAGAATATTGAGATTAGAATCCAGTAGCACCTTAGAGACCACAGGATTTTCAGGGTATACGCTTGCAAGAGTCAAAACTCCCTTTGTCAGAAAGAAGTAGGAATGGAGATTTGAGTCCATATCTCCTAATCAGAAGGCGGGAGGGGTGTTGCAAGGAAAGGAGGTAGGAGGCTCTTTTACTGCAGACCAACATGGCTACCCTCTGAAACGATCTTCACAATAAAGAACCGGTTTGCCATGCTTAGAAAATACCAGTCTTTTTCTTCGGAGGCCAAAAGACGTTTCTCTGCCTGACGATCTAGAGAAAATAATTCTCTCTCCCCTGTTTCTTCAAGTAAGCCATCTTATTAAATTGTAGCACCTCAAACTGCAATTCAGGCGCAGTTGCTGTCATGAATAGGGATGGGCACGAACCGGGTCATGCACCAAAATTCAGCACGAACGTTGTCCAGTTCAGAGCCCCAGAACGTTTACCAAGCTTTTGCACAGTTCAGTTGTTTGGGCCATTAACAGCGGATGGGCACACCAGCCCCGCTGTTAGGATTAAATGGCTGGCAATGATTTCAATGATCTGTTTTGCTGCCCCCTGCTTCTGAGTGGGAGGAAGCAAAATGGACAGCTGAAATGGCTGCAAGCCTTATCAGCCTAACAGCAGATGGGAGCACCCACCCCGCTATTAGGTTTAAGTGGCCACCAGCCATTTAACCCTAACTGAGCAATTCCCCCCCCCTTTCTCCTGACTGTGGCTTGCCAGTTCTGTTCAGCCAGTTCCATTTGGGCGTGGTTTTTCCCCCCAGTCCGGGGTTCCATTGAGGACCACCCTGAACCGGAATATTTTGGTTCATGCCCATCCCTGGTCATGGATGATTCCTGAACTCTGAAAACTACTCGCACAAAAGAACAAAGTGTGGACAATATTCAATTGGAACATTTAAATAGGCTTTTTAAAAAATGGGGCGGTTCTATCCTGTAGAAAAATAGAGACTAATGAATAGGGACTCACAAAGGAGGATCTCACTCCCATGTATACTCCTCTGCCCACTTATCTCTGCTTTCCTTTTTCCTTTATCTGCTTCCTTCTCTCTCTCCCATACCTACTTTTTAGCTGTCTGTTCCCCCATCCCACTTTCCCGATTTCTCTTCCCCTTTAGCCTGTCTCATTTTCTATCCTACCTACCTACCTACCCTTTCTGCTTCCCTTTTCAGTGTTTAACCTTCCTCCCCGCTTCCCTCGAACCATCTTTTACCTTTTTACAATTATGTTCCTTTCTCTCCCACATAATACTCACCAAGGCATGGAAGGTGGTTGCCTAGCAACCCCCAAAATGGCTCCTGAGATGTCTCCGCATAGTCTTGTGAGAGTTTCAGTAGCATTATTGGTTAATTGCAGGTTTTGCTTCTACAATTTTGGGAGTTTTATCCCAGCAATGTGGTTTGTTTGCTTTTCCCCCCCTGCAAACCTGGGACTTCTCCCAGATTGGTATAAAAATTTCTCACCTGTCCCTGGCCCCACTGTGTAAATCTTTTGCACTCTAGAGCCAGGTTCAGAATTAGGTATATGCAGACAGAAGAAAATGTCAACTGCTACGGATTGAACTTTCTTAAAGCAGTACCCATCTCAAGCCCATATAACCATTTTCTTTGTACTTATTTATTTATTTATACCCCACCTTTCTCTAAAATGGGGACTCAAAAGCAGCTTAGAAAGTTCATTTTATCCTCACAACGAACCCATGAGGTAAAAAAAGGTAAAGGTTCCCTTGCTCGAAAGCCAGTCGAGTCTGACTCTAGGGTTGCGATGCGAGGTAGGGCAGGCTAAAAGCCGATGACTGACCCCTGGTCACCCAGTGACCTTCCAAGGCAGAGTGGGCATTGGAACCTCAGTCTTCTGGATCCTAGTCTGATACTCTAACCAGTATACCACACCTCTCAACCATTTATCCCACCCTTTCTCCAAGGAGCTCAATCTGGCATATTTTAGTGGCTTGTCCCTTACCCTCACAGTATCCCTGTGAGGCAGCTTAGGCCAAATGTACACGACTGGCCCAAGGTTATCCAGTGTGTTTCATTATGAGTTTGAATTTTGGTCTTCCCACTTCTATTGTGATACTAACCACTGCACTCATTAGCATTTTCTTTTAATGAGATGATTGTGTGAGTTTTTGGGTGCTTCTCTTTGACCAGGATGTATTTTTTAATCGTGGTGAAGGAGCATCATTGATTTTGCAGTTCTTCCACAACTCAGGAGAAAGCAAGAGTAAAGGTAGTATACGAAACAGACTGCCTTAGGTATACTTCCTTAGGTAGTATACGAAACAGACAAATCAGACAGTTACTTTAAAACTAGAGCAGAGTTTTTACACACTTTTGGCATATATGGGTCAGGTACTATTGCTCTAGGATTGATTGATTTATTAAATTTATACCCCACCCTATCCTCCAAAATGGGCTCAGGGCGGCTCACAACATAAAATCAACAAACAACAAAGCAATGAATAGTAATAGCAGATAAAACCGAAACCCATGCCTTATGAAATAAGGAGAGATATGCAAGGTGTAGGTCATACATGTTTTACGAGGGCAAAGAGCTTCAAGTGTATTGCTGGTATCTGCAAAGGGTAAACTTGGTTAAGTGAGCACAGTTCATAAGCATTAGGTGTTAATGTTCAGAGGAGAAATGATGCAAGCAGCTCAAGTTGTGCTGAAGACAGTGCTCAAATAGATTACTCTGCACTTGCCTTCAGTGGGTGAAGTTTCATTAGTCTTGCAGTTCATGGGGATAGTGGCCAAGAACAGTTGCTTTTAGCTTGTTACTGCCTTTATTTTAGAGACATATGGTGAATTCAGAGACCACAAAGAAGTAATGATTCCTTCTAGGATGAGGGTGCTTTGGGTGACGAAGCATGAAAAGGAACAATATGGCTGTCATATCACTGCCAGGTTTTTTAATACTCCGAACCTTAAGCCCTGGTTTTGAAAATTTGTGGATTTGTTGGCATTTTCCATAGACAAATATTAAATGTCAGGGTGAACAAAAAGCAGAAAAAAGTATTCACTGAGATCCAGATCTAACAACTCTCAGGTTCTTTAAACTTTTGTTATATTAATTAATATATGTATTGAGTCAGTGAGGTGTAGTGATCAGTGTTGAGTTATGATGTGGATCTGAGTTCAAGTTCCTACTCTGTCATGAGAAGCTCACTGGTGCCACTGTTTAGCCTAGCTACATTAAGCACTTCTTGTGAGGACAAAATAAGCACTGAAGAAACTATGTGTGTTCCCCCTGATCTTGAAAGAATTGCAGGATAAACATGGCATAGTAGTCACTAGCTTCCAGCTGATTTCTGGGCACAGTTTTAAAGTACCGATGTTAACATTTTAAACATCCAGGGTCCAGACTAGTGAGTCCTAAAGCCTTCCATATTATCTCGCCAGTTAGTTGAGGGTCAAATATGCCTTTCTCCAGGTGCCTGTCTATGGAATTTGGGGAGGGGGGGGTGTACTAGAGAATACAGTCCACTTGTGGAGCTCTCTCCTCCCACATGCCATCTTTTAGGCCCAGGCAAAGACTGTCATATTACCTGACCCTTTGGGGCCTCAAGTTTGTGTTTTTCTTCTGGTGCTGTATTACTTACTAGTTCTGTCATCTTGTTTTTCACTGTTGTTTTATTGTATGTATTACATTTTGATTTTACATTTTTAAATAAAATCTCACCTACAAAAGGCATACCTTTTATATATGTGGTTTGTAAAAGCTACATGTATCACCATGTATCACCATGAGGTTTGGTTTTCATTCTAATATGCTTGCCATTCTCCAAAGAAAGAATCACTCTACTCCTTGCCATTCACAAGTGAATTAAGAACATAAGAGAAGCCAATGTTGGATCAGGCCAATGGCCCATCTAGTCCAACACTGTCACACAGTGGCCAGAAATACTAGGTGCCATCAAGGAGGTCCATCAGTGGGGCCAGGACACTAGAAGCCCTCCCACTGTTGACCCCCAAGCACCAAGAATACAGTGCATCACCTGCCCCAGCCTGTGAGTTCCTATCTATACCTTGTGGCTAACAGCCACTGATGGACCTCTGCTCCATATGTTTATCCAGTTCCCTCTTGAAGCTGTCCATGCTTGTAGCCGCCACCACCTCCTGTGCCAGTGAATTCCATGTGTTAATCACTCTTTGGGTGAAGAAATGCTTCCTTTTATCTGTTCTAACCCGACCGCTCAGCAATTTCATGGAGTGCCCACGAGTTCTTGTATTGTGAGAAAGGGAGAAAAGTACTTCTTTCTCAACCTGCTCTATCCCGTGCATAATCTTATAAACCTCGATCATGTCACTCCTCAGCTGTCGTTTCTCCAAGCTAAAGAGCCCCAAGCGCTTTAACCTTTCTTCATAGGGAAAGTGTTCCAACCCTTTTATCATTCTAGTTGCCATTTTCTGCACTTTTTCCAATGCTATAATATCCTTTTTAAGGTGTGGTGACCAGAACTGTACACAGGACTCCAAATGAGGATGTACCATCGATTTATACAGGGGCATTATGATCTGGCTGATTTGTTTTCAATTCTCTAATAATCTCCAGCATAGCGTTGGCCTTTTTTATTGCAGTCACACACTGTCTTGACATTTTCATTGAGTTATCTACTACGACTCCAAGATCTCTCTCTTGGTCACTCTCTGCCAGTTCAGACCCCATCAATGTGTATTTATAGTTAGGATTTTTTGTTCCAAAGTACATCACTTTGCACTTGGCCACATTGAACCCCGTTTGCCACGTTGACGCCCACTCGCCCATCCTTGACAGATCCCTTTGGAGTGCCTCACAATCCTCCCTGGTTGTC